GCTCTGCTAGTAAAGGAAGGTACAGGAAATATTTAGGAGCAATTCCTTTTGTTCCCTTGATGGTCTGTCATTTTTATGTAATCTTGGAATAAACTTTATGCCAATATTTGCAGTGAACTTAATTTTTTAATACCATTTTGCTTTAGAGTTAATTATTTTAAGCTCATCAGCTCCCAGGCATTAGGCAGAAGGGAGCTGATAAACTGGGAGCATCCTGGAAAGTACAGTTTAGAATAGTTAGCGAACGTAAGTGTGTTGGGGTAGACAATAAAGAAAATTGATTTTTATATTTTATGGAATACATAAAAATGGAGCTATTTTCAAATTTCTCACTCTTCCAAAATTCTCAGCATTATAGAAAACTAGATTAGTTTATAAGTGCTTGAATGTATATATTAAAATTTAGTTTACCCTAAAGGGAGTTTATAAAACTATTTTATATTCCTAGTCACTGTTGCCCCACATTCAGTGGAGTTTAGTAATGAAATAATAACCATTTTTACTTAATATTTTTGGAAATAGAAGAGGTTTTATTTTTAAGTTGAACCTGAACTGACCTTATATAATTCTTATAATCAGGGTCATACCCTGCTTGAATTTGGCCTCATCAATGCTACCCACAAGACTTAACCTTTTTTATCCTTAATAAATGTTGGTACTCATGTGGAATTTTTTTCTATTTTATCCCAAATATATAAAATACAAGAGTATTTGAACTACCTAATTACTTGCTTATGGTAGTTTTTTATAGGTCTGACACTATCACTGAAATCTTTAAAAAAGGTGAGACTTTGAAAATAAAGTACTTTTAAATAGAATGAGGTTATGTACTTACACAAATTTTTCTCTTTTACAGTGTGAAAGCCTATAGGAAAAATGTTTTGGCAAAATGTGTACGTATTTACCTGATAAATAATAAATCTATTTATGAATTTAAAATGAAAGGAGTATGAATATATTGGTCTCCGTTGTTGGTTTTTACAGTTCCCTTTATTTCATCTCCAAGTTCTCTTTTTAAATCAGTAAACTTCAGCTTGACTATGATAGCATTTGCATTTTGATAGTGTTCTTAAATATTTTTCATCTTAATAAAAATTTCCTTATGTGGAATATGAAGAAGGCACAGAGTCTGGCAGAAGTAAGGCCTGCTGAGTGTGGTTGGTAGGGTAATACTAAAGGTGTAATCATTTATAATTTAGGTGAAAATTCCACCTAAAATGTCATCATATGGTGTGCTTGAGTGTGACATTGAGTGTGAGAATTAACATGCCTATGATTTTGTAATAAAATATTTTAATAAAAAAGGGGCCTTATTTGTGCCAGAGCTGGTATTTTATAACAGTTATGAATATTTCACACATTTCGTTGATCTACTTTATAAGGGAAGATTTTGAAGACAATGGCTAAACAGTGGAAAAAATATGGGATTGAAATCCACCTCTCCTGCATTGGTTTGCCAAGCTTGCTAACTCGTCTATTAAAAAAATATTCCTAGCTCAGTTTTTATGAGAATCAAATGATAAATGCTGTTTAGCTAAATCTTTTGTGGACTGGCACATTTATGCCTATGCAAGTTTCTACATGAGGCTAGTTACATAATCCAGAATTTCAAGTTTTTAAAGCAGTTAAGGAGATTGATAATTCTTCCTTGACATACATAATGTAGTACTGGGTTTCCCTGTGGATCTTTATCCCATCCAAAAATAAAGCAAGCCTTTATCATTCTTGACAGTAAAAATAGGATCTGCCAGGAAGAGGAGTAGAGAGGTATATTTGCAGATGACTTCCTCATGATTCATGGGTAATAATTGTAAGGTTGTTGTATTGATGTCACGATATAATTGTATTTTTTTCCTATGGAGTGATTTGCATTTCCAATTTTTAAAATATTTTTCAGTATGGTGGTGATATTACCCGAAAAATGAAGCTTTTGAAGAGACAAGCAGAAGGAAAGAAAAAACTGAGGAAAGTTGGCAATGTTGAAGTTCCAAAAGATGCTTTTATAAAAGTTCTAAAGGCACAATCTGATAAATAATTGTGTGAAAATAAAGGGACTTTTAATAAATTAAAAATTGTGTCTCTTTTAGTTTTCCTTACAAATCTGTAATATGTTGACACAGAATGAACATTATAAAATTTGCTTGTTACTTTCAGGGTTTTCAGATACAAATAACGTATTGGCTTTTCTTTGAAAGGCAGTAGTGGGTAGATAAGAGCTTGTACACTGAAGCCATACTGCCTGGTTTCAAATTTCTGTTCCGCCATTTACTAGCAAGGTAAATTACCTGAGTGTGTTCACTCTTTAGTAAAATCAGATTTTACTATTGCTTACCTCCGTAAGTTGTTGAATGAGATAAAATGGTTAAAGAACTCAGAAGAATGCATGACACACAGTAAGTGCTCAATGAACCTTAACTATTTTGTTTTCATGCATATTTTTTCTGACATTAAAAAGGCCCCAAATTTAAGAATCTTCTAGTTCATGATAGAAAGTATTTTGAAAATCACCATGGCTATCAATTTGTTGTTAGCTGGATAAATTTATATGACATGTAAGTTATTAGGTCAAGTAACATACTACCTAGGTGTGCTTTAGTTTTTGATACAATTTTTATAAATGTTATTTTGATACTAGATGGTTTATATACAGGGGGCAAAAGTAGGTTTACAGTTGTATGTAAAATAATACAATAATAAAAATACAAGGATAAACTGTTTCAGGTGCTGAAATTGTAAAACTACTTTTTCCCTACCCTACATACATCTAAGTTAAAATAAGGGTAGGGGCTGTCTTATTTATGATAATTGAAATGCATTTGTGCAAAGTTGTAGGTGTTTGGTATTAGCAGCAGCTGTTATTTCTCACAGTTTAATCATCAGATTTCTTAACTGAGAACTAGCTTTATAGTCAGTCACTGGAAGCCACACAGACAGTAAGTGGATTTCTGCAGAGCATGTGCTCTTAACTCCCATGTTTACTCAGCTGATGGACAAACCAGAGGGCAGATTGTATTACTGTAAATAATAAAACGGACCCTTGAACAGCTCGGGTTGGGGCACTGACCACCTGTGTCAAAAACCCATGCTTAACTTACGCCGGCCCTCGGTGTACGCGGATTCCACGGCCAGCTGACCCTCGGACGGTGCCAGTTTGACTGACAGGGTGAATTGGACTGCACAGGCTAAATAAAGTCCACTTACAAGTGGACCCACCACTTGAAACCCACATTGCTCAAGTGTGAACTCTAAGTTAGCCATTGATTTTTGTCCTCTATCTTGACTGAATTGGATGAGGTAAGTACGTCTTTTAGGGATGACTATCAATGAATGGTATACCATGGTTATTACATGATAATTTTAATTAAAAATTAAAATAGTGGGGATTTACTTAAAATTGTATTAAGGTGTTAACTAGTGATTTAGTCCTAGTTGAATTAGCTCTGATACCTCCACTATCCCTTCTAGCTCTAATAAAAAGATGAAACTCCCATGTCTTGGAAAATGGCACTGTAAATGAAACTAGAAGAGCATTTAAATACAATTTCTAAAACAAAGTGTTCTACTATTATTGTTAGGGAAAAGTTACACATCTGTACTGGGCACGATGTATCTACTACTACATATTTATGCTTAATGGCAATACTTTCAATTTGGATACATTCTCTTCCTTTAATAATGGTACAAAAACCTGGTTTTCACATTTTTAGCGTAAGCTTAAGTTCTCTTCCTTGGCCATGCTCCCAAACAGATGAGTTTCATGATTTAAAGGTGTATGTCTTCTAAGTATACCCCCCAAAGGACCTTACATTTCCAAGAAATTCACAAGCATTAAAATGATAAACTAGGACATGAATATCAGAATGGCCACCGTTTGTTGTGACAGCTACTGTGCTGAGCTCTACGTGCATCCCCCATATTCAATCCACGCAACAACCAAGGCGCAGGCACTGTCGCCATCCCATTTCACGGGCAAGAAACTCGGGCTGGCTTTGTCCAACATCACAGTTAACGGCAGAGCTGCGGTTCAAATGGGGTTTTCTCCAAACCCCAATTCTTAGCTACCTTGCTTTATTGCCTCTTGTAAAAATATCTTCCATAGGTTTCTTAGCTCTTTCCTTCACAGCAGCTTAGCTCCTCACTTAGGGAGTGAGAGTGGCCAGAAAGCTTTTGGGGAGGAGGAGCTGGAGTAGACACAGACCTAAACTACCCTCCTAACATCAAGGGCAGTGACGAAGGCTGTGTTTCAGCAAACACATTTAAAGCACAGTAAAGCTGGTGAACCGTGCACCAAAACCAGTATCTTCAGCTTGTTCACTGTTTTTACTTAACCTTCTTAAGGTAGTTAGGGTAATTTGCAGTAACCACTACTTAATTATCAGGTGTGCTTCGAAGATGATATTGACTGACTAGTCATTTAAAAACCATTTACAACACTTGAGGCTATTACAGCTCCATCATCTGGAATTAAAGCTGTATACATTTTTTTTTTACCATTTATTTAATTCATTTGCTATTTAAGTATTTTAAGGAACTTAACAGTAAATACGTTTATTCACAAAGGCAATTAAGTAAGTACATAAGTAGTTCTTAATCTACTAGGTGGACTTATAACATGCAAAATATTCAGAGGAAAAGGGAGTGGTTTTTTTTCACTCTCCAAGGAGCAAGACTAAAATTATAGGCAGAGTCATTGTCTCGACTTAAATCTCCTATTTGCATGATGGCAACAGACAGTTATTAAATGGAGGCTCAAGAGCCACTATTAATTGTTGGAATATCTCAGATGCATATGTTCAGTTTCACACCTGGAAATAAAATTTAGATAACATATTTGTTTATTATAAGCTTTATTGGAGTTAAAGATAGAAAACAATATACTTTTATTTGCAATTTAATGATGCAAGTTCTTATGGCAATGTAAAATATTTTACAATAATTACTTTTATATATACTTCATTATATTATCCTTTTAGACTATGTAAGGAATAAAGCTAATCATTTATGAAGTTTAACAATAATCAGAAAATTTCCTTTAAAAGAATTTCCTTAAGTGTGTAACTAGGTATAAAGCTCATAGTGCCAAAGTACTTATATTAAAAGCATGAACCCAAGTCATTAAATAAAAACAAGAGCACAATTGTAATAAAAAAAGGTGCACAAAAATCATGCCCTTATTCATACCTTTAAGAAGGATGTATATGTATTTTTAGGCACCATCATCTCTCCAAATTTTCTGTACCTACAATATATAACAGGACTTTTGACGTCCAGATGCTACTGCAGGAAAATGACTTAAGGCAACCACGTGCAGAAAGCTTGTGTAATGCACAGAAAAATACAAAGATAACATTTCAAAAGTACCAGTAAAAGTCTGTGATGAGTGTGTCTTCATGTGATTAAAAATAATAATCTAACAATGCCACTGGAGTCATATGAATGTACTTGATGTAACAGACTCTTTACCTTTAAAATGACTTTTTAAAATTTTAAATAGGCAGACATTTCATTTCTATGCTGTTTTACAGAGTGGATATGTGGTTCCTGTACTTTAAAATAAACAGCTGATTAATTTTGAGAGCCAACTACTCCTAAACCCTAGTATAAAATGGATACATTCTAAATATGGAATGTTTAGTATATAGATATTGGACTTCAAAAATGACAGTCTTCAAAAATTCTCCATGTTTTATCATATTGCATAGCTGCAAATTCATCTAGTATAAAAGTGTTCTGTTCATTCACAAGCAGAATTTTGCTCCAATTTCCTTCAATCTCCTCCTTTCATACTGTATAGTGGATCCACAAGTTTATTGTGCACATGCATTAAACCTTGAAGAAAAAAAGCACAGTTCTAGTTGTATTTTAAATTTTGAACTCTATCTCACATACTTTAGACAACAAAAGATGTGTAAGTATGCAAGTTCCCATATGATATAAAATTGTTTATTTTAAAAATGCAAATAGAAATAGAATGTTTAGTTTGAAATATCTCGTAAATACCAGTTTTCAGTTATGAATCTGTAGTTCTGGAATGTATACAGGTTTTTTGGGAGTAACCAGAAGTAGGAACAGTTCCTGTCTTCAGAGCTATGGTAGGAGAAAATAACATTTTAATACTGACTTGGATAATACATTTTAATTACATATGTAAGTGTTGCATTTGATCCTCAGCCATGTCTTCTACCAGACTCCAATGAAAGACTCAGAACTCTCGTTACATGAGGATAGCCTTGCAGGACATTTAGTCTCATCCAAAACATCCATGGAGATATTTGGTCCTATCAAAAATGGTCCTTGAAATTTGGTCCTAGCAAAAATGTCCATGTTTAGAAAACATCCCTGGGTTTAAATAGCCCATAATGTTTATACTTTTGTTTTACAGAACACATAAAAAATACTCTCAAGGACCTTCTGGCATGGTCCAAATGTCTCCATGGACTCCCTGGATGGGATCAAATGCCCACTAATACTGGGATAGTTTAAGTTCTCCAATAACCACTGCATCCATCCATTTGGCAAATGATTTTCCACTGCTTTGCCATGTATATACAATAGAGGTAGATTACAAGCCACATGGAGGGGGAGGTTTACTAAAACAATGCCGAAGATAACCTATATCAACTACTGATTTCCAAGTAGATTTAAATTTCTTCTCATAATTGGTACACTTGTTAATTATTCGTACTTATTAAAGTTTCTTGGAAAATATCCCCCAGTTACTAATGTCTTAATACATACATACTCTATTTCTTTGAGGGAGGCAAAAAGATTGTCCCAACTAATGAACGGAAGATTTTATATTTTGAGGGTTAAAGAAATGAGTTAAATTTTTCAGATTGTTAAGAACAAAGAAGCTGGGGAAACAGACTCATAATGTAATTTTCTCAGGAAACGGGATTATCGGATTGAGGAGACAGCATACTTAGTTAATAAGTATTGTATTATAGATAGTCCTTGTCAGGAAAGCTGTAAAAGTACTCTAAAATCTAAACTGTGAGGAGAACCTGTAAGAAATATGCAAAGACAGGAACACGCAAAGAGCACTGAAATCTTCATGTAGTAGGAAAAAAAACAGAAGCAAAGAATCTTAAAAGGAGAGAAAAGAAAATTCATTAGTGCATCTGAAAGTGAGAGAATGCTAACTGCTCAACAGCCTACTTCAACTCATTAACCAGCACCTCAAATTCAACAAGGTCCGGACCCATTTGTTTCCTTCCAAACCATTTCTCTGAAAATCTTTGAAGTATGGTGCTATACTTCAATGAGCTGCTCAAGTCAGACCACCACAGGACAGTGGTGTTTTGTTTACTCTTCTCTTTTATAATTCAGCAGCAAGGCCACTTGACACTACACACGTTCCTTGACTTAACAATGGAGTTCTCTCTCCACAAACTCACAAGTTGAATCTGTACGTTGAAAACGTGCTTACAGTTACACTGTAGAGTCCGGGACGTACACCCTCATGGCCACGTGGCTGACTGGGCTGCCCTGCACCACAAAAGTCTTTTACTGTGTATCGGTAGCCTGTGGCAAGATCAAACTTCAATGTAGTTTCTACTGAATGTATCACTCTTGCACCCTTGTAAAGCTGACGTGAGGGACTGTCTGTACTTTCAAAACGTATCCCCAATTAGCCACAGTCCTTCATCTCCCCACTGCCACTCTTGTTGAAGCCACTCTTCGAATCCAATTACTTCCAATCCCCTCCTTTCATTTATTTCCTCTATCCCATAATAAATTTTCTGCACAGCAAGCAACCTCATCTTTTTAAAACAGAAACTGGATTGTACCATTTCCCTGATTAAAATTCTCCAATTGTTCTGGTCACTTAGAAAATAATCTAGGTTTTATTATGTTGCCTCTGTTTATCCTTCTGATTTCATGTCCTCACGTTCCCACCTTTATGCTGAACTCAATCCTGGGTTTGCTGCTGGTGCCCTAGAAAAGCTAAGCTAAGTTCCAGTGCAGGATCTTTCTAGTTGCTGTTTAATTCAGCATGGAATGCTCTTCCCCCTGAGCAAAGCATGATTTTCTCCTTTTTATTTATTAGGTCTCAGCTCACATATCACCTTAAAATATTCATGCCACTTTACATTCTTAAAAGCAATTTTCATCCTTAGAAAATACGATTTTCTACCATGTTTCCAACTAGAAACTAAGATCCAGAACTATATTCACCGCTTAAGTCCAGGGTCTATAAAGATCACTGCACATAGTGGAAGCCCAATAAACATTTATTTTAAAGAGCCTGTGAGGGTTTAGTGAGATGGTGATATCTACTAGCTTTTTAAATTTAAAAACCAGTCTAGAATATATAATGATAAAAAGAAGGTGGTAGAAACATGGAGAGGAGACAGAGATTCTGTAGTTCATGGTCCTTAAGTTAGGACAGGAAAGGTTCAAGGGCACTGACAGAGTGGCTAGACTTTAAAGGAAGGATGGCTGAGCATCTGGGTCAATGTACAGTCTCGTAAGGAGGACCATGGAGAGACGCATGTTAAACCTTCCATGCAGCTGGAAGGCAAGAAGGGTCAAAAGGTTAAAATGTGTAATGGGAAAAGTTTAAAACCTGCAAAACTTGGAGCAACAACTGACACAGAACTAAGCATAAAGGCATTTCATTGGCTCAGCCTCTGCCTCAGATATATGGCAGCCATTTAGCTAGCTGGCCTTATTTATAAAATGAACAATCTCAGCTCAAAGATCCAAAACATGTTTGATTTATCTATGTCTTCAATAGTATAATATCTAATACTTGAATGTTTCCATAGTGATAGTTCCTATAAAGTTATACACCTCTGTCCCCAAATGCTTACAAGTGCTTTGAAGACAAAAAGCCGTGATAAAGATACATAAGTATGTGGACAAACCAATGACTATTTCATTCGTTAGACTATTTCATGCATAGCTATCCCTGATGATGGATTTAAAATCACTGACTTCTCAGTATGTAAAACTTTTTCTCAGGGTTAATCAAACTCCCTTCCCATATCCTTTTGGTGTTATAAAGGCTGCTACAGTTAATTTGATACCTTTATTGGGAAGAAATTTGCTCTTGGATGTTGAAATGTATGAGTTCTGAGGGAAGCCAGAACAGAATGAATCCACAAGCATTCTCTCAGTGAACATTCTTTGTGTTCTTCATGGAGGCTAGTTTTAAACTAAACTAGCCATTCTGCCCATAGCCTGTATCCTAATATTGGGATTTTCAAGGTTAAAAGAAGAACTAAGGAACCATCATTGTTAAAAAAAAAAAAGTTAAATACTCCATATTTAAAAATAACAAGTTAAAGTTAGAATGCAGGAAAAAGTAGCCAGCGCTGCACTGCCTCTGACTCCCGGACTGCCAGAAGCCGCCCACCCGATGGACAAGTGCGGCATCGACCGACCTGGAGTTCCGGGCTGGAACAGAGCTAGACAAGGCTCAAGGGGTCCTCAGTTCTCCCGCATTAATCTATAAACGTGCATGTATGCATAAACACACATGTACGTGCATTTTTCTGTGGACCATTTTTCTTTTTCTTTTTTCACCAGATTTTCAAAGTGCCCCATGTCCCCCTAAAAAGGTGAAGAGCCACTAACAAGTCAACCCTGGTTTGCCTTTTTCCTCTTAATCTATACGTTAATCTGGCCCCTTTTATCAACACACATGAAGTGTTCTCTGTTCTATTAACAGTACCTTTTTCTGTTACTATATTAAGCTCATCCTCACATCTGTGCTACCCTTCTTCCAGGGCTCTCGATACCAGCAGACCAATTAGTTTCCTTCAATGACTACTTAACTATAACTCTCTCTCCCTCATTCAATATCCTTTGGACTTCACTGTATGATTCACATAATAAAGCACTCAAACTGATAGGGTTCCACAGTCCTGTGGTCCTCTACCCATCTACCTATCCAACCACCCACACACTGACCAAGCGCCTCCAGTGTACCAGGCACACTTCTAGGTGCTGACGTGATGTCGTAAACTAAAGTTCCTACCTTTGTGAAGCTTTCATTTTAATGCAATATATTACATTTTATTTTCTCAAATCACTTCATGAGTCAATTTTTTATGAAGACTGTCAACTACTTTCAGGTAGGGATACTTCTTATATTTTTGATTAACCCTGTGTTGGACAATGTACTTGAAAACACTTTAACCCATGTTTCTTGGTTGATGACACTAACTGGAAAATATAATTTATGTTTGCCAAAAATATCTATCAAAGGGTAATGTTTCACAGTGCAAAGGAAATATCTGCTAATGAAAAAGATTTTCCAGATGATATCTCCAGACAGAAGCAAGCTTACTTAAAACCAGTAATCTTTAATCCATTTTCACAACCAGCATATAAAGGGCAGTAAAATGGAGACTGGGGAGAACCAAGAAGAAAGGGTACAACAAAGACAGTGGTAGTTTCAACTATGTGGTTCAGAAGATGTTTTTTTGTTTTCTAGAGGACCAGCTTTTAAGGATCATTCCTAATACAATTCATCTTTCATTTCTTACAAGTTTGATCATGGAAAATAATACATTAGAGCTTTAAAATACAACTTAAAACATCAAGATAAACATTAAAAATTCAACTCCTTTATAAGGATTTCTTTTTTAAACTATGCATTGGCTATATCTTTTATACATAGGCCACTTCCCAATGAGAAATTTTGAAAATTTTTTTACTTGATATTAGGATAATAAGTCAAGAATTTACTATGACTTAAGATAAAAATTGGTAACTTTCTACAGAAGAATTTGATAAAAATAACTGCTACTTAAATAGTAAACAAATAAGTAAATTCTTCTAATGAGTCCTGAAAACATATAGACTTCCTCAAATGTTGCCAGAAGAAGGAAGGTTAAATATCATAGACTTTAAATGTCAATTTTATGGTTTGGGCTCAATGTTAACTCATTTAACTAGTGTCAAGATATTGGAGTAGGGCCTAAAAAGGATGAAGCAGAAAAAAAAAAAGTTCACCTTAAAAATATATTATCTCTAGCACATAAAACATAAGTTTTATTTTAAAAAGCAAAAACAAGTATTAAACTGTTTTCCTGTGATATACTTTTATCTTTCAAAAGATACATGTTAAAATAAACTTCAATTTACTGATGATTCTTACTGCTTTAAATGTAGTTAACCTACAGATCTTCAGGAGCTAAATGAGTGAAAACTCTTTAAAATCCCTGCTGTACTTCTTAGTGATGGCAAAAAAGGGTAGTGATAGGAATGGAATTTGAATTACAGATGATAATTATAGGCTTCATATCCAGTACACAGCGAAGTGATAAAATAACTCAATGAAGGTAAGCCAAATATAAAAACTGTTAAAAATACAGTTTTTGTATTTATTTATAATACTATAAATGTACTTTTTATATCAATCATTCTACCCTGTGACATAACACTTTATTGTAAGACGAGGTCTATATATAGCCCAGAACAGTATCTCTATTCCATTTTTCTCCATACTAAAAGGGGCACCTGACAGAAGCTAATATCCTGAACCTCTTCAGAAATACATAGAGCTCCAAGGGAAAAACACGGTGTCCTCAAAAAAGGCAATGCAGCAGTTCTCTCACAAATAGCTAGCAGTACACTTCAAAATGCTTCAGAAAATCTTAGAATCTAGCTAGGCAAACTGAAAGAACTAAAGACATAGTTCTACTTCTCTTCAGTTTTACATTTTCTTTAACATACGTCTATACCTTTTTGAAAACAATATAACCTAGATTATATCCTATCTGAGTTCATTCTTCCATAACATATTATAACAGTGGACAAAAGCCCAGATTTGAGATAAAACTGAACTCACTGACCCGGCTCACCCACACATAAGATGTGTGACTTTGGATGTATGATTTAATCAGTACCCATTTCAGAGAAACACTTTTGAAGAATGTTTAGTAACACAGGAAAACTCCCGCAACAGGTAAGTGTAAATACAAAACGATATACACATGATAAAAATTTTGTTTTACAAATTAGACTATTTTAACTGTTTGCCAAACTTCCATTTGTGAGCCACCTTTCATATTTTTGCCATATTCACACATTTACATGAACTACGAGTTACTCGTATCCTTTAAGGTGACTTATAATTTTAAGGTTATATACTATATTTCATGAATATGAAGGACAGAAGACTTTTAGATGCACCATTATTTTATGTACCATTAAGAAAAAAATGCTACCAGATAAACAATGGTAGGCCACCAATTTTAAACACATCCCAATTTTAAACAAGATAAAAGTGAAAGAAAAACGTGTCTAAGAGGCAATAAAATATGTAACTTCTTTAACCTTTACATCCATAAAATACAGGTATGATTGGTTCAGAATAATTTTACTAATACATGTTAAGGAAGTACCTAAGTTACTGGAGTAAAAATTAAAAATTTATATTCACATACTACATACTTTATGGATTACTTACCTACATTTATGGTCAATTACATAATATTTTTATATTAGCTATATAAATACAGGTGCTTTATAAAGACTACCTATTTATACAGCTTGTTTAGGTGTTTGTATTTATATATGGAGTTGACTCTTAAGGAGGAAATGAATGGCTTCTAAACTGAGTGCACTCAAAATTTTTCTTGAAAATCTCTTAAATTACCCATTACATTAAGCACAGGTGGTTTTAGATATATGAACTGTGAGGTTCAAGAATTACAAAAATATACTGAGAGACTGCAGGAAGAAGCAAGAGGTAAATACACATGCAGAAGTCTAGATGGTCAAACTCCTGCTTACTTACAGAGTTTATGCCATACTGTTTGACACTTAACCATTATTACTTTAATATGTGGGAATAATTTGTTTGAGACTGTGAAGATTAAATGAGATAGTGGGCAAGCCATCTTATCTGCTGATCAGATTCTTGGGGAGAGAGGTAGGTCAGATAAAAAATCAGAAAGGACATACATATACATTTCCTTTGAGTGATTTAATCTTGTATATTTGATAGGAAATTAAAAACCTTATTAAATTTTGAATTTCAAGAAAAATCTTATTTACTGAAAATATAGATTGAATAGATTATCTTCAAGAAAATAAGTAGGAAATTATCTGAAAGCTATCATATGAGGTGAGATATTCCTTGAATATCATTTCTCTCCTTGAAAGAACTGGCTAATATGTTAGCACATCGCCAGTTTTTAATAGGCCACAGTGCAAGATGTAACTCTACAATCATATTCAGTTTTAACTGTCACCTATAAGAGAACATTCTCACATTCTGCTTGTGAAATTTCAATGCTCACCTTTAAAGTATTTCACAGTTTTAACTCTTAATTCTAAGGTAGCATCCTCATCACACACAAAAATAGTTCGGGGATGCTGCTGGAAAGCTGAAACAGTCCACATGTGGTTGACTCCTTCTTCTATTGCTTTGTAAAGAGCAAAGGCCTTGTGCGCACCTGTTATGAGGATCATCACCTGAAAAGTCATAAACATTACTTGTTAATTCTTAACTTATTCTAAATGACGGAGAAGCTCTATTTGTTTTAAAATGACTTCAGCACCAATATTCTTCTAAGGGTAAAATAAAAATAAATAGCACCATATTTCTTCAAAGTGCAAGGTATTTATTTCTATTCTTTAAGGTAATAGGCAAATAAAAACCTGTGCATGTTAAGCCCTACTACTGAAGATAAGAAATCATTAAGTATGATGACATAACTTGTTTCAAAAGAATGCTATAAAAAAAATCAATGCTCTAAGCCCTTGGGAAAATGATTAAAGCCCTTGAATAGTTCTACCAAAATGCTTTTCTTTATAATCATGCTGGGAATGAATACTGTGACATAAATGGCCTCATATAATTTTGTTGGAAACAATTAACCAAAAGAAAAAAGTCAGTATTTGAATAATACTCTGTTCATGTTAATAATCAGCACAAGAACTACATTATAATTTAAATCTTGTTAAATTTAAAGGAATATCTGCATAACTTTGCTTCATATCTGAGAAATGATATTGTTCTAAATCTGTTTTCCAACTTATTTACAAACTAAATGTCAGCCTTTGAAAGGTTTTTCATATATTGATGACTTTTAGATGAAAAACTCCTGCATTGTGAATGGCAATTCTATTTGTAAGGTCAAATCTAGATATATGTCAAGATCAGTTACATATCAATCATTCCTTTGTGTGTACTCTTTCCTCTGAAACTGCCCATCTGGCTGCCAGAAAGGAATGGAGTTTAGGGTTTCCCTATAATTTAACCACTTATACTCATGAGCTGACTATCTTGCTATTTTCAGGGAAGGAAATGATAGTCCAATTAAAAATTGAAAAATTAGACAGAGTCTACTGTTCAGAGCTCTTGCCTTTTTAAAATATACCAAATTAGAACAGATCCAGTCCTAGATGAGTTCTTTTCCGCTGGAAACCAACATCCCCACACAGTCGAGAAGCACATTACACTACCTTATCCTGAGCCGCCAAAAGTAGTTTAGTATTAACTAGCATTGTATCTTTGTCCCAATAGTTCTTTACAAGAATATTACACTTAAAAGCAGGCCATATATAATCGGGGTGATTTTAGGACCTCAAACTGTAAAGCAGGAGTAGGCAAGTGAAGGAGTACTGCAAGAGAGGCAGTACCTAATTCGTAGTTTATAGCTCAAAGGGCTTAATTCAGTTGAATTATAAACATGGACATGAGACAAAGAAGTTACTGAAAGCTAGACAATTTAAAATGTGAATAGTATGTAACCAAAATATCACTTATTAGGCACCATAATCCCTCCAATATCAATTAATATAAAAAAATGTCAATTCTTACTTCTCTAGCATCCATCACTGTCCCCACACCGACTGTTAGAGCCATAGTTGGCACCTTCGATAAATCTCCATCAAAATATTTAGCATTTGCCAAAATGGTGTCCATCGCTAGTGTCTTTAATCTTGTTCTTGATACTAAACTGGATCCTGGTTCATTGAAAGCAATATGACCATCTGGACCAATTCCTTTCAAAAGAAATACACACAACTACAGATAAGTACAGCTTTCAAAGTTCAATATGTCTTTAAGAGCAAACAAACAGTTACAACCATGCTTACCTTGCTTATTTGATAGCTGAATTTCCAATGCTGCATTAAAATATCTGTTCCTGTATGTATCTGATTCAACAAGAACTTCAACGTTTTTTATATGTTTAGCATTGAGCTAGCATGATTCCATTAGCAGTAAAATAAGTATGTCCTTGTGTTAGAGAAACACTTTACATTTATAAAGTATTTTTACATGTATCATCTCAGCAACAGATATATTTAACAATCTTGTGAGATAGATTAGGCTCATCTATTTCTCTCATCTCCCCCAACTTTTTTTAAACCCAAAAGGAAACACTGCTGCTCAAGGATAATATAGGACTTGTTCAAGATAACAATTTAGTAACTCCTGAAAGAGCTGAAATCTAAATTTTCTGATTCCTACTCAGTGGTCTCTTTTATAGTCACACTTTAACTTGCTTCGTTCTAGTCTGGATGGGGCAGTAAATTCCTCCTCCTCCTCCCCATAGGATAGTTTCCTCACTTACAAAAATGTTTAGACTGGACATTTCCTAGGGCAGTAGTTTTCTTCAAACTTTTTGTTACAGTAACCTCTTCTAAAAAATACATCTGAGGCTGCCATCTAGTACGTGTACACACACATACACACATAAAAATATCATTAAAACAAGAATTGCAGGAAACATGATCCTTGCTAGGAGCCATACAAGCCACTTTGCATTACATTCATTTCAATGTACTCTGTATTACAGTCAAAACATACAAAAGGGAAATATTGGATGTAACTGACTATATTGATTTCATGACTTAATAGTGGGTGGCAACCACAATTTGAAAATACTGCTTCAAGGAGATCTACTGTCAGCTCTAATATTCTAGCATTGCCTCTAAAATTTAGGTAAAAATGTGACATTCCTTATTTGAAGGAAATTGCAGGTATACCTTTTTATAAAATCAAGACTCTTTCTACAGCATAGTAAATCAAGTTTCATTTACATGTACACTAGTGGCTATTCGGATTTCTGGCAACCTCAATAAAAAATACACCCACCAGACCTCTGAATCAAAATTTCATATATATATAAAAATATATATATAAATATAAATAAATATATATAAAATCTGCATATTTACTTTAATGATACTGTATTTTACTGACTCTTAACACATGATTCTGACAAATTATTCCCACAACCAATTAAGACATGACAAAGAGTAACCTAGTTCTGAAGGAAAAAAAAAGAAATGAAAACCTTAGGAAGCAGATATACTACTACCAAAGCACAAAAACCTAGACATTTTTAATGTGAAGATATAAAGCCAGACCTACAGTGGTTAATACATATGAATTGTTTCCACTATTAAATATGTATCTGCCTGTAAATGTAAGTTTTAAATTATAGATATGTGTCTTTCTAGATTTGTAAAAATGTTTTGTTTCACCTCCTAAATATACTTCTGCCCAAATATTTATATTTCTCTATGTATGCATAAAGAGAAAGGATGAAACCAGGAAGAAAGTTTTGGGAAAAACAGGAAGTCTTCCAAGATCAACACTGGTGGTCTCACCGGTGATTTGGGTCATAGGAAAAGTGTACAGCAAAACTGAAATTATCAGCAACAGTTCATAATGGAGAAGGTTCCATACATCCCTTTACTGACCATGAGTAACTATCGGAAGTTGAGCTTCCTGATATAAAATTATATTTTTAAAATGTTCAGTGTTTTACAAAGCTTTATAAAACTTTCTTTAAAATAATCATGAAATCTAAAAATCACAGCTAATTCTTACTCAATCTTTAAGTCAAAACTAACACATCAGAACCTTTGCAAAACAACTCTAAAAGCTGAGTCTGGGTTACAGAGGGTGGGACAAATGTAGACTCACAGTTGTTCATATGGAAAATAATACAATAATAAATAATACAAGAGTAATCTGTTTCACGTTCTCATAACAGTAAACCTAGTTTTGCCCTGCTCTGTATGTCTTTCTTGTGTGTCCCTACAGTTTTGTGAGGCAGACTGTGAACTTTATGAGTAAATACTTTATCTTCTTCATCACTGTATCCTTACCATTTAGATTAACACACAACACACAAGGGTTTGCTAAATAATGGCTGAATAAATGAATGGATGATTATGGCTGCTATTCTTGAATATGCTCATAATTTCTCCCTGCTGCTTCTGCCTTTCTCGGATCCCCTCAAACAGGGGCTAGAACAGTTCTAACCCTCATATGTCTCCTGGGCAGAATGATTATGGTCTAAAGATAAGTAGTTGTCCCAACCTAAAATAATTAGAATTTCTTTCTGGAGATTCTGAGCCTCGACTAGGGTTACAGAAAGAAAAAGGCATCTAGAGCGGAGGCATCTGATGCCAGCAATGTGGGGAAGAGCCGATGGGTTCCTGCTTCAGAGATCTGAGGCTCCCCGTTCTTGTTCTCCCAAAGACTTGGTTTAATTCTACGCCTCTGTTGAGTCTGTGAACTACCCTACAATCATTCCATTTAATTCACTTTTGGTCCCTTTCGTAGTTTATTGTTACTTGCAAACCGAAGTATCTAACCATGTATCCAAAGGAAAGTGTTCAAGTTTTCCCCACTATCTTCTTTTATTTTCTCTTTTTAAAAATAAATCATCTTATGATAATCTTAAAGTTTATAATGCCTTTAGAGTTTTCCTTATAAAATCCCATGCTTGTGTACTTTAATGCTGGAGCAGGTCAGGGGGAGCATGATACACAATCTCAACACCTCTGTCATCAGAGGAAGAATGAGAACCTCGCAGGGTGCGCGTCCTGCTTTGCCTCTTCCTCTGAAGGAGGGCACTATTGCCCTCCTTCCTGTTGCATCCCCCGGGAGTGAGCGCTACGGTTTAAAATTCTTCAACTCCCATTTGGGCCTCTCAAGTACAACCTACAATCTCTAATCCAACTTTACCTTTAATGAAGCTGATACTTTGATCCCATTTGGCTCAGTTCTTAGTGTTTTTATTAACCAAACCCTGGAACAAAATAAGGGTAAGTGGTAAGACCCAGATACTAAGCCTCATCTTGAAAATCCAATGATGAGAAACCTAGATCAACAAAGGCAAAGAATCAAATGAGATTCTTTCATGAATACACATCCACTAATAGGGTACCAAAGAGGTAAAAAATTCAAAGAAAAGGAAATAAGCTAACCATTCATTCCCTAAACACAGTAATTACATCCTTTGAATGGTAAATATAAACTGTCAGACCCTAGACCATCACATGACTACAGCGCAGATGTTAATGCAGAGACAAGGAAATCCTCTCAAGTTTTTCTGTTGGGGGACAAAAACTACAGAAAGCTTAAGACAAAAATTGGTTAAAAAACAAAGTAAAGTTATTTTTAGTAGTAGAAGTGAGTGATAAATAATTATAATTTATGCACCACTTATTCAAAGGGAAAAGTAAGGAGACTTATATTGAGAAAATGCACTAAAAAATGTGAGCTAAAAGGAAATGAGAAGTGACTTGACATTATCAGGAGAGAAGAAAGCTCTACTAGGAATCTTTGATAAGGGAGATTAGATTCAGCCTAAAATATTATGTTAAGCTCTAAGTGCTTTCTGGGAAGCAGGCAAAAAGACAAACTGGAGTTAAAGAGTCCGTATCAGTTTTTTTCCCAATAAGTTCTATTTCCTGACACTGAGTCCCTAAGAGATTGACACACGCATCCTTCTGTAAAGTCAATAAATAGGAAAAAAAAGTGTTCAACAAAGAAGTAAAAAAAAAATTTGTTCATTCAGCCATTTTTAATAATGAATCTCTAATAACTATAATCCTTTCTGTATAACAGTAAATGGGTGAAAATATTTCATCATATAACTAAACAGTTTAGATATAATATATAACAGTAATTCTACAAGATTTTGGCCTAGAGTTTAGAAAATCTGAAGAACACAGGAATAGTGCACTCCTTAAACATTCTCAAGTATCTCTTGCCCTAGTCATGATATTTGCAAGTGCAAATAGTAATTATCTCAGAATTGAGCCAGACGGACAAAAGTGAAGTACAAATGTTTTCCAGGAACACTGAAGTAATATTAGAAAAATTTATTTAAAAACACAGATAAGTTTGCTATTTTGAAAAGCAAAATAGTCTAAGTTAGATTCTTGCTCAAATAAAAACCATTCCATCTACACAAGAAAATAATTGGTATTGGTTCTGCTAGGCAGAGGTAAAAATTTCCTTAAAGAGGGATTTTTCAATCTTGCCAGATACCTTTGCAGGTCAGTAATTCAGTTAAAAAGCAGGAAATTTAGAGAACTAAGGAACAATTATTTCAGCACCTACAGTTCAGAGAGAAAACACTGAACTAAATAACACTTAATCGAGTACCAACTATGTATCAACCACTGTGCAAGGTATTTTATACCTTTTAACATAGTTAATTCTCACAAATTTTGGAAAGGTTAACATCAATCCTGTTTTACAAATGAGTTAATTATATTGAATGTCAATTAACTTCCCAAGGTTATACAGATAATAAGTGGCCAAAACAGGATACAAATTTACCTCTGACTGTAAAACTCAATTTTCCTTAAGGGCAACCAACCAACTCAACCATATTTGGCCACCTCAACCATAAATTAACCTCGTACAGCTCCAGTGAAGGCCTGATTCATGTAATTTTCAGCAGTCTTCTAATAAATTAATTATAAGATACATCCAAAGAACTTAATCTTAATTTTGAGCTTTAGTATATTTAGATGAATACTAAAGAATCTGCCAAAAAACTATTTTAGTTTCAGTGTAGTTAATGTTATTCTGATGCTACCATACTATTTTAATGGTAACAAATTAGCTGTTTCAAATGCTTCATATTGATGACAGAAAACCCATGTTGTTATTACAAAGGAAGAAGCTCTTTTACCTATTTTCAATGATAGTTATGCATACACAAACATATACACACATACATTTCTAGAGGAATTTAGTCAATACAGCATTTAATCACTTTGGAGTTTATTAAGATTATTACACTGCTTAATTCATATTAACTAAAGGCTACTAATAAATAAAACATTACATCAGCTCTAGCTGGTGTGGCTAGTGGATTGAGTGCCAGCCTGTGAACCAAAGGGTCGCCAGATCAAATCCCAATCAGGGCACGTGCCTGGGTAGGGTTGCGGGCCAGTTTCCCAGCAGAGGGCGCAAGAGAGGCAACCACACATTGATGTGTCTCTTCCTCTCTTTCTCCCTCCCTTCCCATCTGTCTAAAAATAATAAATTAAATCTTTAAAGAAAATAATAAATAAAATCTTACATCATTCTTAACTGATTTCTTAGTGACTAGCAGAGAAATGCTAAAATCTACCAGTTCTACATGCAACTTTTAGAAATTTAACCTTCTAACATGACAAGAAAGCTGGGTTGGTATTAAAAAAAATAGGATAAGAATATCATTTAGGAAAAGAACACATCTTTTGCACTGTCAATTATAAAGTGGTATTTAGAATTTCGCAGGGATTGCGATCTATTTCTCAAGTTGTAATTTGAACAATTCCAACGTGCAAACTTAAGATTATTTTTTGATGAAAATAAGGTAAAAAAGAAATTAGTAGCTGCATAAACATATGTTATAGACAGTCACAGGTGTTCTTCACACTACACAATGGTAAGATTTTTTTTAATTCATGGTACCTAAACCAAACATTAATAAATGATTAATGACAAAATGTCTTACATACCTCCAACAAAAAGATCAATTCCTCCAGCTTCTTTTATTTTCTTCTCAAATGCATCACATTCTGCTTGTAAATCTGCAGCATTCCCATCAAGAATATGAGCATTATTAGGATCTATATCAACATGCTTAAAAAAATTATTCCACATATAAGAATGGTAGCTTTCCGGATGATTTCTGGGAAGTCCTAAATACAAAGTTAATAAATATAAATGTAACTATTTTCAGAAATAAATTTAAAATTTATTTTTCTGATTAAGCTCTAAATGCTATGTAAAATACATCATCTTTCTAGAACAGATTCAATGTAAAAGCATTTTTATGTGGAAATATGCCAGGCATTATTTTAACCACTATATATGTATGCTAACTCAATTAAATTGTACATCTATAAAAATAGTATCATTCCCATTTTGTAGGTGAACAACAGAAGCACAGAAAAAGTAAATAACTTTCTTAGAGTTACATAGCTCATAAAGGGGCTGGAATTCAGAGAAGTCTAAGTCATGTGAGTTTAGTCACTCTACTCCATTTGTCAAACACGCAAAATTTTAAAGAATGGAATCAATTTATGTGTTAAAATTGATATAAATTAATTAACTATACAACTAATGGTCCCTGTTAATGTTGGTCCCTGTTCCTCCTGTATTCCTCCTATATGCCTACAAAATGTACTCAATCACAAGAGTTCTTTGGCTATCACTTGGACTACCACTTAGGCGACCAATAAAAATGTTTCATTATTTTTCAATGCTAGCACAGTTTATATGCATCACAGATCGTTCTAGTTAAGTAAGTTAACAATCAATAAATTATAAAGGCTTTAAAGCTACAAATATAATAGCCTTAAACTTACAAAATCTTTATTTTATTAATTACTTTTATATTTGTATATTATTTTATTACCCATAAGAAGACTGGTTTTAACTTCACCTTCAGGAAAAATTTTAAAAGACAATAAGAAATGTGAACAGATTAAGTCAAAGCTGCAAGACTGGTAAACTGCAGAGCCCAAGACGAATACAGACCTTCTGATTTTTAGTCCAATATTCCTTCTACCATATTGTGCTGTTATTGCAAAAATATAGATTTTTTATAATAAGTCCTCAACCTCATCACAGGTTACATATTATACTCTAGAAACATATTCATACTATATTCAAAACATAATCGCAAATTATATTAAATATTCTCAAGATACATTACTTAAAATATAATATGCATAACCTATCCAAATAATATATTCAAATAATATAGCTTACCTACATATTCATCCATGTTAAAGGTCTTCACATATTTAAAAGACAGGTCTCCATTCTTGTGATATTCTATTAGTTTTTTATAACATCCTAATGGTGTACTACCTAAAACAGATAAAAATTACTCTTTCTACCATAACTTAAAAATCTAATGTAAAAGTTTACATTAACTTTATCCTATATCTCTATTATATTAGGCAAACAATTTTTAATATTTAAGTATGCATTCAATTGACACATATATGAATTAGTCTCTTTTGAAGGTACATTGACATTTTATTAAACTAGAATTTGCTGACAAAGTTGGAACTCTGTCAACTGAAATTAGAGTTTAGAAAATTATTCTTGAGTTGCTAGGTATTGGGAATATGAATATTCCAAGATTAGAAAGTTTTAGAGAGCACATTTGAATTTAAAAAAAAAAAAAATCTTGAGAAAAAAATTTAGAGGATTTGTAGCCTAGAGGATACATAAATAGATCAAGTGTTGACCACGCATTGAAATAAAAAAAAAAAGCTTAAATTAAATATTGTCCCTACTTTCAAAATAGACTGAAACTGGCAAGGATTAGATAAGGAAACTTAGCCTTTAAGTTTTTAACCAGAGCTCCGTTCCTCCTTTGTTATGTATTACCTTCAGCCTTGTATTAGCAAAATGCATTAACGACTTCTAGGAAGTGGGATCTTGACTTTGGGTACTTCATCTGAGTTCCTGATTTTATTGTTTTATAAATGTAATTCTGTAGATGGTTTACAAAATTAAAAGGATGTTTGACAATCCTTCATGATATGGTAAAATAAAAATAAATCAATTTAACCACTTGCGAATGAATGGCCTCCCTTTATTTTCTGAATACACTATACTTCTTCCGTTAGCTATAAACTGGAAGGTGATTGCCTGCACTCCCACGGCAAGTCTCCTTGTCCTCCCATTCCTCGCCCACCCATCATCACAGAGCAAAGCACCCGCACACAGAATTTCTACTGGCGTGGCAGGCAGATGTACGATAGAAAGAAACGGTCTCTGGCACACACACACACACAAAAGTATATATTTCTGTATATAAACATATATATGAGTGTGTATATACATATGCACATATACATACACGTGAGACAAATTCTAGAGTAGTAAAAGGACTGCCTTTCATTTGAGAAGACAATAATAGAGGTGGCTATAAATAATAAATATCATACAGACAGATTTAGAGAACAAAAGGCTAATGGATTTTCTTAAAGTTAAGCATATATATTGCTTTAAAATGCAATTAATAATTTAAAATTTATGTTGTTGAATTTTACAATTCCTTCTCAAAGAACTATAGTCCACTAACATTAAAAATGCCTAGAAGATGGATAAATATGCTTTTCCTTCTTTCCTCTAAAAGCATAAGTATTCTGGGTCTATCTTTCAGTGTCAAAGACATTGTTATAGAAATGCCCCCTTAATTTAAAGATAAATAAAATGAGAAGTTGCCACAATGGTGGTAACAAAAAACATGCATTATCCACTTTTTAATTAAATCAGCTACAGGAAAAAAAGATGTGGTACAGTATGAATTGATTTAAAAAATTAATTTTAATATTTGCAATACTCAGTTACTAACATAATTTTAGCAACTGCTTACTATAATTCTGATAAAATAAAGATTAAGACTGTTTCTATCCTAGAAGAACTCAAAAGATGGGGTAGCAAGTACAAAGTAACTATAACACAAGGGAAAACTATTATAAATAACCTATAAGGAGTCAGAGAACTGTAATGAATCTAAGAAAACTATAGTCTTGTTTCTTGGAGGAAGGATCAGAGAAGATAACATTTCAGCTAAGTCTTGAAGGAGTTAAATTTCAATTGTCAAGGATGGGGTGAGTTGTAGTTGAGAACAGAAAAAAAATGGGGAAGGAGGTTCAGAGATGGCATTTGTACGCCTTACATATGCTAGATACAATGCTAAAGTTTTCATACATTAGCTCATGAACACCTCACAACCTTGGGAAGTTGGCATTATCTTTCCCATTTTGAGGATAAAAGAACTAGATCAAAAAGATAAAGGAATTTGCTAACTATTACATGGCAGTGAAGCCAGAGATTCAATAGTTTGGTTCCAGAGCTCATATAGTTTTCATTATATAACAAACTAGCAACATGCGTGAAAGTGAAGCCAGCAAGTTCAGGCCTACTCTTTAAACTGAGAGCAGGCTAATTTGCCTGCCATGGTTCAGTGTAGGGGGAACAGTGGGAATAAGTCAGGGAAGTAGGTCAGGCCCATGGCATTCAGCCTCCTAAATGTCACGCTTGTTAAAATCACTTCAAAAAACACGTACCAAGCAGATATATCTCAAAAACTGTGCTTGGTTGGAGGATAATTACAACTCGACATGTTATTTGCAATTACAGAAATGTATTCTCACATTTCAAAAGCACAGAGGGCACGGGTATGATAAACACTGTCAATGGTCAATGAAGGAGAAAAGCAGGAAACACCGCAAAAGGTTTTCCAGAGACGCACTCTTAGCAGCTCTGCTACTAGGCAGGTACACTAGCCAAAATAAAGCAAAAGTTGTGTATCTAAATACACACAAAAAAGTTTAGCACCCTTGGTATTTATGACTCTGAAGCCCTTCTGCCCTCACATTCAAATTTCTACATCATAATGAAGACAGAGTGATTAACTTAGGTGGCCTGAATGTAGCCCAGGGTTACAGCATGCAAACTGATACGAAAGCCATGGTTCAACAGCTGGAGCTCACGTATCAGAACTGCGGTTGCTGAGAAGGCAGAGCAACGGTGTGTACAATTTGATAAAGTGCCTCTTTGCCAGCTGCCATTCTCACCAAGGTGTACTGCACTGGACCAAAAACAAAAACAACAAACAGACAAAAAAGTCAACTTGGTGAACTAAAGACTAACTTTCATAAAACTTATTCAAGTGCAAAAAATGTTACGACTGTACATTTTATGTAGTTGGCACGTGTCAGGGGGTGGGGAGGAACAGGAGGAGAAAATACTGTTTAAATAAAACACACTTATGGGAACTTTAAATTTATATAATATTTGTAGTATATAAGGGACTTGTACAAGCACTCTTATTTGAGCTCAAAACAGATTGTAAGTTGTTATTACCCTTATCTTTCTAAAAGGTACAGAAACTGAGGCTGAGGAATATAGAACAAAAGCTTTTGCAGTAAAAGCAAGAAAAGAGCAGCTCTGATTCCAGGTCCAATACTCTTTCCTGTGGAAGTCTACAGTATCAAATAAAGTGCCACAATATCAAAGACACTACTTGGTTACTACAGAAAAAACAAAACAAAACAAAACTTAACAGAGAACTAAATCCAATAAAATATGTAATGAATGCTTATGTTTATTCTGTCATTAAAACATACCAGGCTGCAATTTTTCACTTATAGTATTTCTATAAAATAAAGAAAATAAACAGAAATAGCAAAGGGCTAATATGATAATATGAAGCACCTAAGGTGAAATTAAGAGGCAACAGCACATACTCTAGGTACCTCTCAATGGTTAACGAGGAGGATAATCTAATAAGAAATTATACAAATAGTTGAAAGCACCATCCCTAAAAACACATACAATACTACAAGAAAAGATACAAAAAATACTTCGACCATCACTTAAGTTAGGATATTTCCTTTTGTACTTTTGAGTAGTAGGTAAAATAAAATTTAACCAAAGAAAACAGTAACAAAATATAGACATAAAGAAAGAAAGAAAAAAAAAAGAAAAATAAATAAATATTTATTTCTGGCTTTATATGCTAATATATTCAATCAGTGGTGCAATAAGAAATAAATGAGAAACATATTTTACTAAAGGAAAGTTTTCAATCCCCTAACTTTAAATATCTAAAATGGAGAGGGGGGGAATGTATTACCTGTTGGTAAACCCAGTGTAAAGTATCTGTCCTGTCCAGGTTTGAACTGAATGATGCGATTACAGATGTATTTGGCTGCCCACTCACTAGCCAAGTCATAGTTATCAAGAATTACAAGCCTCATTACGGTGATGCACAGCTTCCAGGACAAGAGGTTCGAACCTGAGAAAATTCCATTGTAGAACACTTAATAGTAATTTACAGACACTTAAATAGAAGTGCAACACACTGATGAATTAAAAACAGACGTTACTTAAGAAAGACATGCGTGCATATGAATACAATCCGCACTTTGAAAACAGTAATAATATCTGTTCTCTTTTGAACAGACCTTGGTTTCTGGGAAGTAGGCTAGGTCATTTAAGTACACACAATAATCCTAACAACAATCTGCTGAAGTAAATACAATGCCAGTTTTAGATGAGGACAGAGACTCACACAATTTACACACAGTTACTAAGTGAAGAAGCCAGAATTCATATCGAGGCAAATTTACTATAAAGACACTGCACTGTCCCTACAAGGATACTGTATAAATCAACATAAAACAAACCTAAAGGCAAACAAAACAGTACTCATTTCCTGATTGCAAGTTAATGGTAGTAATGATTACCCAGCAACTTTTTGGTTATTTACTAAAATCCAGAATTTTCCCCATTAGAAATATAAAAATCAGACTTCACTTTAATACATACTGTTTTTATAAAAATGACATCCGGACTTTAAAAAATTTTCAATCAATACAGAAAGGTAAAAAGTTAAAAAAAATCAATCCAAATCCTACCACTCATAAATAATTCCAATATTAGGTTTACATCATTCCAGATATCTAATGCACACAAATAAGTAGAATGTATAGAAATAATTTAATGATTTTTAATGAAAGGATTATACTAGACATGTTATTTTTAAATGTTTAAAGTTACTTTTATTTGAGATAATTTTTTTCATTTTTTAATTAGATTTACTGGGACATTGTGTAACACAATTATATTGATTTTGACATACTATTTTTAAGAGAAAGCATAACACTAAATTTTTCCTGCATTCAACAAAAGAAAACCAAAGTGAATTAAAGAAACTGCTGATCTTTGGGGGAAAATAAATTCTTCACGAGAAGCAATTTCAGTTCCTAAAAGAGTACTCTAAAGTTAACAGAAATTCTTACACAAATATTAAAAGAGCAGAGTCATTTAAAAACTGTATTTCCATTTTAGGCAATGTGGATTGACCTACTATCACAAAAGAAAAAATTTCATTCTTATATTTTCCTATATCCTAATTTCTGTAAGATGCATTATTTTTGTACTTTCAAGATTTATAGCATTTACACTATAACTACAGTTTCCACATTTTAATTCTTAGTTTTCTATTTCCACAATCCCAGATTTAATTTAGTTTTATATTTAAATGGATTTGTCACCCAACCAATACTTTTAGACACTGCTTCAGCAGCAGCAGTCCTGAATTCTATACCCACACACTTTACATTGAGTAACAAGTCAAGTTCTTTAAATCAACAGGGGTAGGTCACTTTGCAATGAATATACAGAAACTACACAATGTCTTTAGGAATAAAACAATTTATAATTCTGGCATAACAACAAAAATTATGATGACCAACATCTAGAATTCTGGCACAGTAACAAGAGATCAGTAGCATTTGCTTATTGAAAACACAGATCCCAGGCCCCTTGCACTGGACATAATATTTCTGGAATGGGGTCCAGGGAATCACGACTTCTACAAATATCACTACAAATAACCCTGCTACAGGGTTAAATTTGGAAAAGAACCCCCTAGTAGATGACTGCATTGGAAGGAGGTTCAAATAAGTCGGATCAGGTACAGGCAAGTTTTGTCTGTTTATTTTTTAAACTCTTTGGAGTCCCAAAACAATCACCCAGCGTAATGTGGAAAGGTTTTGCCACTGCTGTGCAGATTAAGAAATGTGTTTCTGCAGAGATCCGAACTTCAATGGCCCTGGGCAATTCTCTGGCATCAAGGGAGAGCTCTCAAAAAGTAACACAGCACCTCCCCTTCTTTCATCTTCCCCAGATGCTGATTCATTTTGGGGAAAGGGGTGCTGAACACAAATCTCAGAACTTTAGAGCTCGTAGGGGACTTCTCCATAACACGGGTTTCACAGATAGTCTAGTATCTACGCTAGGATCTAGACTTCCAGAATCGCTGCTCTGGGCTTTTCCCCTACCCCACACTATATCTGACCTCGAAAAGGTCTCTGAAGCCCGGACCCAGTGGAGGACTTGCGGGACAGGGTGCCGGCTCCCGAGGAGGTGCCCCGGGCAGCAGAGAAGGGTGTGGTCTCTGATCCCCTCTCCAAAAAAAAAAAAAAAAAAAAAAAAAGCTGGGGCTGCAGACCCACCTACACTGCGCGGCTGCCAGGCCCAGTCACTCACTCTAGAAACTACAGCTAAAAGCAAGTGAGGATGATTTACGAATATTTAAAAGTGTCAGGAGAAAGCTGCCAGAGAGGAGGCGCCAGGGAAGCCCCCTCCATGAGCCCCAATTCTGAACAGGACGACCAGCCAAGTTTGATGCTGGTCGTCCTCCTTCTTCGCTCCGCGCCTCGAGGGTCCTCAGACCCCAAATCCGCCCTGGGGTCCGCGTCCCTGTCTCGGTACAGAGCCACCCAAAGGGGCAATGACTGACTCCTCTTCTTGGTCCATAGCCCTGGACTCACCCGCCCTCCTACCTGCTCTTCCAGCGCTGAAACAGCCAACACCTAGCACCCCACGAACGACCCGGGACGGCAGGTGGAGCACGAACCCAAAAGACCCGGATACAAAACGAGGCGATGGGAAGGCGAGGCGGCCTGCGGCTGGTGCGCATGCGCGTGCCTCGGGCTCGCTGCGATGCGCGGCGTAGAAGTCCGTCCGAGTTCCGTGCGGCAGGAACCTCTCGTTGCGTGAAAGTCTCCAGCTCCTGGGCCGTCCCCTTGCCGTTACCCGCCAACCCCCTTAAAAAAAAAATCTCTCAGAGATTGACTTGAGATAGAGTCTTTGAGTTTATAAAATTTAGCACGTAGGCCTTACAATGCTCCTGCAAAAACATATTTTGATTGTTGCTCAATAGGAATTCATCTTTCTTTGCCCCAAGCAGGTGGGTGCGGTCTACTTTGCAAGCAAAACGACTGCCAGGAGCTTTTTATCAATAGACTCATCAAAGCTCAGTTTAAGTTCTGCAAAAGTCAAAATATTTAGAGTGGGAAACCTTGGTCGGTAAGAGTAAACCCAAAAGGGGATTTTAATGGGATAAGGTGTTGTGCTGAATGAGTCTGAAAAGGAGGTAGAGGGAACAGAATCAGATCTTTGTTCAGGAGGGGAAAAGAAGGAAGTAGGGGTGGGGAAGTGGAAGCTGCAATCACTCCAGAGGGTTGGGTGGCCTCTGTATGCCCTATTAGGAAGAATACAGTCTGTCGTCCTCATAGAATGACAGACAGACTCAAAGTTCTGTTTCCTTGGACACTAGAAAGTTAAGGTAAATGTGAACTGTAGTGTCTCCAAACTCTTTACTTAGAGTTCTGCACCTCGGTTGTAAATCCAGCTTCTCAGGGTCAAATGATACCTCTTGCTTGCATCCTTTAGCAAAGAGTAGGATACCCCATTCTCAATGATATGACTAAAAAGAACAAAGTTTCTTATAAACTGGTGTTAGAAAACAAGGTTTCTTAGCACTATAGCATTTAATTAGCTTACAAAAGCAGTTTTAAACACTTTACCAGTCCTATAATATACCACTTAACAAAAATTTATTGTGCATTTGCTGTGGTCAAAAAGACCTGCAAGTAATAAAAAAGAGCTTTGCATGGAATATTACTGGAGCAGAGTGGGATATTTAAGAATGTATTCTTTCTCAATGAATTTTCTTCTTCTTCATGAATTCCTGACACTAGAAAAGTAAGTTCTGCTCCTTCCTGCTATAAATACTATTGTTAATTCTGGGGTAATTACACTATATCACATTCTGTCTGCCTTTTCTTAAGTTGGTTTCTCACCTCTCGCAAGCTAAATGTCATGCTCTTTGTACCAAGATTAAAGCAAGTAGTTACTTCCCTCAAGAGCAAAATCCTTAATACTAAATAGGAAAATTGTGTTAGAGAAGGGCAGGGTCATTCATTTGTCCATTCAATAAATATTTATCAAGATCCTTTTATGCACCAGACATTAACATGAACAAAACAAGCACACAGTCCTGGCTTTCAGCGAACTAATAGGCCTGTGGGGATACAGGCATCACCCAGTAAATCCTAATAAGGCAAAGTAGCCTCCATCACGAGATTTTAATTGAGATATTCTTTTATGTTTGGGGATTACCTGATCATTGGAGGGACCTGTGTCATGTCCTCCAAAGAGAGCTCGAAGAAGTGACAAGACTAACAGAAAGGTCCCTAACAAGGGTTTTAGATGAAGGGTTTTAACAAGCTTTCACTCAAGGACAGACTTTGAGTGGCATAGAAGCAGTAGAGTAGAGGTGGCTATGTGGGTGACAAAAATAATATGCCTGATAAAATCCATGGTCTGCTACAGGTCACAGAGAGAAGCATCAGACAGCACTCGTATCCTGTGTTCCTGAGTAGCTGACATAGAGCTGCAGTAACTGAAACAGGACCTGAAATAGGGTTTCTGTCAACATGTATTATACAAATGGAGGCCAAGGGACTAAGGATGTTTCAGCAGATACCAATGGGGACATATGCTTAAGACCATAAACCACAGGGAGAGATACTTATCCATTGCAGTGGATGTCAGAGAAGAGAAAATGACTCCATGACAAATGCCTTTGCTGATGTAGACATCAGTAGCCTCCCCACCTTAAATGCCATCCCAGGTTGAAGGTTGGAAAGAGTGATACCTGCAAATAACAAAATTTATACTTAAATGACTAAGAAAACATTAAAGAATTAAGTGAACCTGAAAAGAGCTGGTTTAAGTTTCCTGCTCACATGAACATGAGTCTTGAGGAAAACATTTAAATAAAAGTTATGTTAAAGATGTATAGTATGTATATATATTACAAAAAACAAGAAATGGAATACTGGAATTTATGGCCTATGAAATTTCTGTATGCCACAAAATATTTTAGCAGGATATATATACCATGACCAGATTTGCATGCAAAACAAATATCACCCTGTATGCCTGCAAAGAACAGAGTGAAGTTAGATCAAGAGTAGGTCAGGGTAAACTGGATTTTGCCAGTAAGAAAATACAGAGGGGAACCCTTGAAGTCTAGGAAATAGCTTGCCATAGGTATGCAGGCAAGAAAATTAAAGACTTACATACGGAATTTTGAATTGCTCTTGTGTAGCTAAGAGCGGGGTATATTTTAAAAGCTAGGAGAAATTGAATCTGGAAGGAGAGCTCAAGATGAAATGAAGTACCTTGTAAACTATGTGCAGAAGTTAAACTTTATATTGTTGGCAATGGGTAGCCACTTAAGTTTTATGAATGCTACAAAACACTAGGGGATAGTGTTTTAGCGAGTAGGAGGTAGTACGGGTGGTCGCACTGTGTGTTTTTCCTGCCCCAGCGCTGGAATGGCATTTTAACGTGATGAAAAGAAGACAGAAATCTAGTATCAGCCCTAGTCCCTGCCCTTCTCTAATACCACTTTCCTGCTGCAGACTAGTATTCACTAGTGGCTGATAGTTTTGGTATTTTTAAAATCAAAAAGGGATATTATTCATCAAACACTCTCTGCATCTATAGAAATGATGGTATGGTTTTTCCATTTCAGTCTGTTGGTGAATACAGTGACGGATTTTCGAATATGAAACATCTTGTGTGGATGAAAAAGGGGCCACATATTAAACCTGTCAAGCTCAGGGGAGGCCTGTGTGGCGGCCTTACAAACTCAAAAGACCTGAAGTAACTGCATGGGATGGTCTGAAATGACAACTCTCTAACTAAAAGCAGGTGGTGGTGAGTAGTTATGTCTTAGGTCAGTATCTTCCTTGATAAAGGTCAGTTTTTACCTTAACTGAGACTCTCTGTTGTGTTTTTGCATCTAAGATAACGTTCCTTTGAAGTGCCGGAGGTGCGTCCTTTCCAGACCCCTCTGGGCCCGTCCGCTGCGCCAGACCACAGAGCCCTCGTTGTTACCCTGTTGTGCCGCCTGCCTACCGGCGCTACTTGCTGTGAATGGTAACTGTTAACTACCTTATACCCACCACTCTAAAAGAAATGTCTGTTTTGCTTTTTATCCAATCCCAGAGATTTCCCTCTCTTTGCTTTCTACTGTCTCCGTAATCTATCACCAGTGGATTTCATGTAACCCTCTTAAATCTTCTCCTTTGAGTCTGATGTATGTAAAAGTGACATAACTGCCACTTTCTAGAGCATTTTCTCAATCCTTTGAGATTTTTACCATTTCCCATTTTAGCCATTGTCATCAGTTTGGCTCAAAGAAACTCATAAAAATTCTCACAGGTTTGGATGTTCCTTCCATCGACACTTGCATTGGTGAGATAAACTTAATTTAGGTATGGTTTTTCTTGGTCACGGTCATCGTCGTTCAGCCAGAAGCAACTAAACCTTTGCCTGGGACGTTTATGACAAATGCTGCTTTTCCCCTGGGTGTGGCTTTCGCACTACACAGGAGTTCTGAGTTGGACAAAAGAACGACTAGCCTTTCAACAGCTTCTTGAGGTTCTTTCTTTTACCTTAAATAGCGAAGTTAAGTAATAGCTATTATTTGGGAAGGAGGATTTGAAAGTGCTTCAGTCTGGTTTTGTCTCCCTCACCCCCAACTAGGCTACTGGTGATCTGGGGGTAGATGATAGACTAGCAAGTCAAAACACACAAAATTGACTATTTTTAATGATATTCAGTCAACTTTCACGAACACCCCCGCATCCCTCAGGTTGCTGAAAGACTTTAATCAATCTCTAGAATTCTCAAAATGTTTTTTTTTTTTGATAGTTTGCCAGTTTTCTTTTTGCTTTTATGGAAGGGCAGATATTTGTATACCCTTATCCTGCCATTTAAGTTGGTCTCCTAAATTGATTTCTTTTTCAGTGAGATTTGATAGTGTGTTTTTCAAGGAACTTTGAAATTTCTCTTGTTAAAATTATTGGCATAACATTGTTTATCATATTCCTTTGTTATTTGTGCAAGCCATAGAGAATTTCCCGTCTCTCATTTCTGATGTTGATAAATTGTGCCTTCAATTTTTTTCTTCCTAATCACTGAGTTCAGATGTTTATTAATTTAATCAGTCTTCTCAAAGAACAAAATTTTGGATTAATTCAATTTTGCATTGCTTTTTGTTTTCTATTTCATTGATTTCTATTGCTTTAAAGGCACCTCACAAATTTTGATATCTTGTTTTCTCATCTTCATTTAGCAGAAAATTCTTTTTATTTTATTTTTTGATTTCTTCTTGACCCATTGGTTATTTAGATATGTGTTCTTAGTTCCCAGATATTTGGGTATTTTCCAGCTATCTTTCTGTTTTTGATTTCATTTTACTTAATTTATGGTCAGATAACATTTTTTGTATAACTTAATTCTTACAAAATGAATTAGGTCTTGTTTGTGGCCACAAATATGGTATATATTCCTGTGCACCTGAAAACAAATGTGAATTCTGCTGTTCTGGGGTAGATTGTTTTATACATATTAATTAAGTAAAGATGGTTGATAGTGTTCAAGTCTCTTATATCCATACTGATTTTATGTGTACTTAGTTTACCAATTAATGAGACAGTAGTGTTGAAATTACAATTATTGTGAATTTACCTACTTTTTGTTACGTTTTATCAGTGTGTGTTTTGTGTATTCTGATGCTCTGTTATTAAGTACATAAAAATTTA